ATATATATATATATATATAACACTTATTTTATAGATTTTAAAAAAATTATAAGTGTTATATGCAAATAAAATATCCCTAGCTAAAAATGGTTACATAATAGTTAAAACATATTAAATAATAGTAGAAACTAAAATAATACTTTTAAATTTTAGAGAAATAAAAAAAAAATAAATAAAGGATCAAAGTCAAAACATGTTAGATTTTGTAAGAACTAAAATCATATTTAAACTTTCTTATATTATTTCATTATAATTAATCTAAGATTTAGAGAATATTTATTAGTTTTTACCGCTGGAGCAAACTTACATTATTACATGCACAATATAAAAGATCGATGACTTAAGCTTTTAGACACTAACACATACTTTTTTTTTTTTTTTGAAATAGAACATACTATTTTTTTTCTTATATATTTTTTCTGTTTTTTTTTTTCTCATCTTTATTTTTCTAAGCATTGTTTAGAAGACTTTAATGTGTTTTTTGTACACAAGTTCACAAGTTAATAGTTGTAAGGGGTATTTGGGTCAATTTGTGTTGAGTTTTATCAATCAAAATAGTTTGAGTTAGGTTTGGTTTAATTTATGTTTATTGTAACAATGTATAATTTTATTATTATTGCTTTTTATTGAAATTATTGTGTTTCTGGTGATTTATTGTTGAGAAACTTTGAAATTAAAGAATTCCTTGAGTTTCTAATTGTTTAGGAGTTTCTTTGAGTAAATATCAAGTTTAACCTGTAGGAGAATGCATATAAGGCTTTTCTTCTTTAGAAGTGAACTTTATAAGTTCATTTTTTTTAAAGAAAATTTAGAGAGAATTTAGATAGAAGTTAGAGAGAAGAACTTTGAACCTCGACTTTCTTCCTTCTTCTTCCTAGCCTTCCCAAGATCGTAGGAGATTTGTAGTTGAGTAGAGGAGAGTGATTTTGGTGAACGAGAAGTGATTTGAAGCTACAAAAGCTAAGAATCGAGGTTGGTTCGGGGCTAACATAGAAAGCCATCATCTTTTTCCTTCTCCTCTAATTCTTAGGGACTTAGAGGTAAGGGAAGTTAAAACTCATTTTCTACATTAATTTATGATGCATTTGTTGTTTGAAATTGTTAATTTTTGTGGTTGTGTTAATAATTGAGATGGAATTACATGTGAGTTTTGTTGTTATTGAACATGTGGAAGTGAATTTGGATTTTGGATGGTTGCATGTTGATTATGAGGTTGGATTTGAGTTGTTTGAAGTGTATATGCATGTTATCTTGTGTTGCATGTTGGAAATCTCATGAGTTTCAGGTGGAATGAGTAATTTTGTGATTCTACCAAGTATAAAAATTACCATTATGTCGAGCGTGGCTCAAATCAAGGGTTTTATACCATGATCAGGCCAAGCATAGGATTGATGATGTTGGGCATGGGGAGAGAGAAAAACCTCTAGCTTTGTCACACCGAACATGGGTTGCATGGCACCGAGCGTGAGATTGCATGGCACCGAGCGTGAGATTGCATGGCACCGAGCGTGAGAAGAGAGAAACAACTCTGACCTTGTGATGTTGAGCCTAAGGTCGAGTGGCACCCATGTGACCAAGAAAAACTCAATGCTTGAATGATATCAGGTGGCAATGGAGTGACGTTGGACGTGAGTCAAGTTAAGAATCTCTATCTTAAATGAGGTCAGACATGGGTTTTGGCCACATCAGGCATGAAAGCAACAAAGACTCTCTATCTCATTCACGTCGAGTGTGACATGATACGGGGTTTGATATTATGTCATGTGCATTTGATGAACTATTTCAGGCTTGTGTCCAACAAGCTTTGACAAGAAAAGCCCTTTTGTTTTAAGATGCAAGTAACCATTCAACTAATATCTATAGATCTTGTAAACTTATCAAGCATCAATCCATATATTATTTTGCTTGTGGGGTCAAAGAAAGAGGCTTTGATACTGTGTAAGGAGCAGCTGATCTGAGCAGTCAACCAGATGTTTTATAATAAAAATAGCAATATAAGTAGTGTATATCAAATAAGTTTTTGATGTTCATTAATGGCTAGATGGATTTGAAGGACTATGAATTGTGTACTGGGTCCAATGTGGCCTCGAATCTTCCTTTCTTTTCCCTTTAGCAGTTTATCAATGGCATTGAGGTGATTAGCCAGATAGGCATTGGATGAGTTGACAGGGGTTTTCCTTCTATATCCGATTGGTGATAATTGGATCATACATGCATTATATTGTAGATATGTTTATAGTGGTTCATTAGTAATCTTTTCTTAATTGCATTTTATTACATCTGATGTTCTATTCACTCATCAATTAAATGCAGACAAAAAGACTGAAAGATTCCATATCACAAATTTATTCTAAACTTGAGGTATGCATTTAGCCAAAGCCTCTACTAGTTTTCCTCACTACACTAACGTGTTTGCTTTAATTCTGTTATTGTGCATACCTGCATTTGTTTTATTTTTTGCAAGTAGTAACTATTATAGTGTTTCTATTTTTTTTTGTTGGTTCCTAGGAAATAAAGGTATCCGCAAAGTCAGACCTGCGGCACCAGGTTTCCCTTGTTGTCCATCCTATGCAGCAGGTGAGCACAACATACTCGTTTGACCATGTTTCATTTCTCTGTGTGTGATCTTCTAAATTGCTGCATACCCTGCCTCCTAAATAAAAGAAAAATACGAGTTTTATTGAAACTATTTTCATTTTCATGTGTTTTATAGAATTGCTTCTTTTCAAAGTTGGATTTAACATTAACACAGGCACAAACCACTTCCTGTTTAATGAAAGAAACTACTTTGAGATAAACCTTTTATAGTTTATTTTATCAGTATTTATTATGTTTTGGATTAAATGTTTTGAGTTCTTAAACACTTTTCTACAATTTCGTTCTCTCTCCCAGATCATCATTCTTACAAATTAAATATATATTTCTAATCCTCAACACATACAGAATCTAATGGAATCATTAATTCCTCAAACAGAAATAATCCAATTTTTCCAAAACCTAACTTACAGACATTTTTCTATAATTTCGTTCTCTCTTCCAGAGCATCATTTTTACAAATTAATCATATATTCGTAGTCCTAAATATATACAGAATAACATAAAACCAATAATTCTCCAAACAGAAATAATTATAAAATTACTCATAATCCTACGAGCTTCCTCTTCTACCCAATTCTCTCATGTAACTTTGCATACAAATAATCCCCTTTTCCCCCGTACCTGGATAAACAGCAGTTGAACTAAAATAGGAATCTCTTGGTCTCCTCCTCTAAGTGCCCCTTGGTCTTCAGAGAGAAGAAGAGGGAAAGAAGAGAGAACAGAAGAGAATAGGGAGAGAGAATGAGAGATGTGTGAAAATGAGAGGTGAGGGCGCTATTTATAGGATTTCAGGCTCATCTACCCGGAATGGCCCGTTCCAAAAGTGGAACGCCCGTTCTGGACCCTTCAAATCTACGCAAATTTTTTAACTGGAACGGCCCATTCCAAAATCAGAACGGCTCGTTCTCAATCCCAGCAGAACGGCCCGTTCTCCCTCTGGAACGACCCGTTCTCCAAACCAGAACGGTCTGTTCTGCTTCTCCAATTTTGGGCATTTTACTTATTCCGGAACGGCCCGTTTCACTTTTGAAACGGCCCGTTCTGGGCAACGAATTGGGCCTACGGCCCAATAAAAATTGGGCTGTTACAGTGACACCCTTCTACCTTGAATAATTAAACAAAATAATTTAAATAATTAAGAAAATAAATGAAAAACCTTTCATAAAAAAATAAATTTTCTAAGCATCAATATTCAATAAAGGGTTCACAATCTATTCCAACAACTTTATTAAGCAACATAGTAAATAACATATAAAATTAAAATAAGGCATACATCATCCTTTTTAACAAAATCCCAACAATTAAATAGAAAGAACTATAGTCCAAATGAAATCCATTAAGATACTAAAAATAATTCTTTGCCCTGATGTCACACTAATTAGAACAAGCCCCTCTTTATGCCTCTCCCTCATTAAACTCTTCTTCTTATACCTATACTACTCCTACAAGTGGCGTTCAGCCCAAACACAACACATAAACATAGGGAGTAATAATACATCTCCTCCACACACAACATATATAAGATATAAAGGTATGCACACACACATATAACTATAACATCAATCACATCTCACATGTATATAAACATCCTTCCTTATAACAACTATAATCATCTCCACCCATTCATTCATCATTCGCACCCAGCAAGTCATACAATATATCTCAATTATAATCAAGATGTGTGCAATGCATGCTCCTGGCTCTATACACATGTGGTACCAATCTCTTCATCATCATTGAGAATATAGAATAGGTAAGGAGTAATGAACATGACCATCCCATTGAATAGTGTAGGGACCACCTATCAATAGTGATCCCCCTTGAACCACCTAACCTAGGGGATGTTTATTAGGATTTTGTCAAAGTGTTACAACTGGTCATGGTAGCCTCTCATTTTCGTTAGAGGTTACCCCACCATAACACCCCCAAGGCATAGGTAGATTACCTATGATATCCCACCTGTATAGACTCAATTATACCACGAAACTAAGTATGACTGTAAGGACTCAATGCAACAATACATTATGCATACTCAACTCCTTGAATGTCAGTTTGTAGCACTAGACGTATTCATCATGTCTCATCATCAATATTCTCACAATATATAGTAATTCAATTCCTTATTTATCATTTTATAACTCTAGACTTGTCCATTATATCACATCACATTACTCATAATACTTCAACACATCATACATCTATATAACGTCTCATACAACATCTTCACACAATATATTATACATTATACATTATTATTACTCTTGTTATTCATCCATCACATATTATAGCATTGATCATTATAATATCATTATCATATCATCATCATCGAACCTAAAAAATCATAAGATTATTGTGGAGAAAAGACAACACTAGAAAACGGGGTTGAATAGTGTGTATCAAAAACTTGCATGTTTGAGAAGAAAAAAAATTATCAGATGAAGCGTTGGAGAAGAGTCAGATGAAGCATAAGAGATTTTTATACTAGTTCATCTCCACCACCGAGACTACGTCTAGTTCTTAATCCAACCAGATTGAGTTCCACTAACTTTTGAAAAAGTTACAAGTATTCTTTTACCAAACCACTAAGTAGTCTTTGACTTACCTCTTCAAGCAACTACCTAAGTATTCTTTAAACAATAAGCATCTCTAGGCTTAACACCAAGTATTCTTTCAACCAAGTCTTTCCAAACTCAAACACTAAATATTCTTTCAAACAAGCCTCTCCAACCTCAACACTAAGTATTCTTTCACACAAGTCACTTCAGGCTCAACCCTTACAACAAAGGTAATTGATGATTACAAGATTTCTTCGTCTCTTCTAGACGTGGTGTAATCAACAATGAAAGCACAAATAATCTATAAAGAAATATATACAATATTTAGAATAAGCATTTCTTTGTAGTTTTATGCTTTATATATTTCAATATGCTTCTCTATACAATTTTCTCAATGTGTATTACTTTTCTATGTTTCTTCGTTGTTTATTGTATCTATCACACTATTGTTGTTTGAAGACTTGAACCTTTTATAGTAGTTTTAGAGGAGATGACCATTGCAACAATTTTGAGTTGAACTCACAATTTTCTTCATGAGTTTCTTCGTCTGTCTTTATTGTTGATCCTAGAAATTACTATTGTTGCATTTAATGCGAGTATTAAATGCCTTTCAGTAAGAGGTGTATCTCTTATCTGATCTAACAGACTACTTATCATCATTTTCTTCAAAAATGGGCATGGCAAGAGTAATATTAGTGTAGAGTAGTTGAAGTCAACGTAGAACATTTGAAGTCAACATAGAACAGTATTTTGAAAAGCCTTTTTTTACTTTATCCATGATATTCAGGATTTTTCCTTTTTGCTTCTAACAGATAATTTGTCTTTTTCTTCTTTAACATGTTTTGAGAGTTTCAACATTTCTTTCTAGTTTGATATGTTAAGGAATAAAATATTAAATAAAATTTAATGTTAGTCTCACTTAGAAGTAAACGTTTAATGCATTGAGATGGACTGTATGTTTTTTCTGATTTTTTTCATCTTATAAATGATATATATTTTTTACATTTCATCTTATATAGAATATCTTTGTAGATAATTAACTTTGCTTAGAATAAAATCTTTTTGTTTGTTATCATTAAATCTAAGATCGCCTTTTGACTTAACAATTATACATTATCATTACTCATATCAAATATAGGCACTTAAGAATAAAACAACTCACTATATAACTCATAAATTATTTCTTCTTATCATAAGATTTTATGATGTCATGTGTTCTAAGTGCATTATCTAGAGATGTACTTATCGTATTAAGTTTATCTTAATTCTATTAGAAATCTAAGATAATTATTTACTATTTTTAAAAATTACATATTCATAGTATTTAAATCTAACTCTAACAACTTGACCTTTGCTCACTAATTAGATCTTAACTTGAGTTCTAAATCTCTTTTTTGGGTGATTTTAGTGCCACTAGAAAGTTAACATCCAAGCCTACAACTATTATGAATACCATGAAACCTAATTGGATCATCTAAGGCTATTCACAATGCTTATACGGTTCAGACATTACATTTCATGCATGGAATGTGAGATTCATCTTATAACTCACATAACTCAGTTGTTTCTTACATTTTTCTATAATTCTTGAGTCTAAACTATAGCTCTAAATGTCTAGTTTCTAATCCAACAAGTGGGACACTATTTGATTAATCATATAGAGTGAAATCACCCTAAATACTAAGATATGTTCATATCATAAATTTCAAAATTAAACTAACTACACCAAAACTCTCAAATCATACATAAACTCTAACCCCCAATATGTTCATTCACATCCTTTTACTTCAATTCATCATCCAATTAGTCAATTAGATTATCCACACTTAAATAATAATAATGTACCTTCAAATCATACAATTCATTTAATCCATCAAACTTCTTGAGTTCATACCCTAATCTACAAATGCATCAATTTATACTAACAATTCAATCCAATATCAATTAACACTCAAATTTATATAATATATGAGAATAAAGCTTTCAATTTATTTATAAGCAATCACATAGATCAAATTCAACAACCTACGGGGCTTAGGGATTATCCCTCTACCCTTATCCCTTATATATGTCCAAAGAATTAAACAAACTCACTCCCCTTACTTGGAGTGATGATCCTGCAGAACAATGCACTTCCTATAGCTCTGGTCACTAATCAATGCCTTCTTTGATGACCTCCTCTAGGTTTTCTTGTACGAGTGCTCTAGGTTTCAGAAGACACATCCAGTAACCTAATACTTTCCCTTTTTCTTGTTTTTAATTAGCCTATAAGTTAGACCTAGAGTTTAGCCAAAAATCTAATTCATATCTTCCCTTTTATTTTATTAACAAAATATTTCCCTTATAATATTTTAATTATTATAATTTATTTTAAAAGTGAGATGTTACAACTCTCTCCCCTTAAAAGAAAATTCTTCCTCGAATCTTGTCTGTTTTGAAACATTTTGATAATGATCATTCATAGTGTTCTTAAGCTCTCAAGTAGAACTTTCCATAATAGTATGTCTTGCCCTTTTTCTTTCCTCAACTCTCAAGGTAATGTCTTCAAGGTATGGTTTTATCTTAGCTAACTATTATAGACACATGGATATGGATTGTATCATGAGTATAATTTATTTATTTTTTTTGAGTTTTGGAACATGGAAAACTCTAAAGGTTTGAAAGATAGAAGAAAAGACTATAAATTAGAAACTTGCTACTGCATATTAAGATTTGGTGGGAACAAAAGAAATGTAGTGTAAGCTTGCCCTAATCTTAATGTCAAACCAACTTCAATTCAAGTAGTTACTTTCAGGGATAGATGATCTTTCTTATCCTCTCTTAGAACATCATAATGTTACAAGTGGTTTGTTAACTCACTTTAGGTCCTAGATAAGGTTTCCATTATGTTTTAACCAATCATAAAGGTATATCACACCTCATTGCACTTACAATTCTAAAAAGTATCATCCTAATTACCTCTTAATCTTAAGCAAAATCTTTAAGGAGATTCTCTAAGGATTAGATAGTTTTCTCACACTGGCTATTTGTAGAAAGGTAATGAGCTAAACTTAATCTAAGGTGGTTTAAAGTTTTGTGATGTTCTCCCCAAAGAAAAAAAATCTAATGGTAAGTCTAAGGTCAACGGTAGAAACTATGCTTTAGAGCACCCCATGTAATCTCACTCCTACTTAGTACGCCTAAAGGTTGAAACTCTTTTAAAGATTTTGATATTCTTCCTTAGGCTTCTAACATATTAAACATGCATGAGTAACTTAACAACAACTTTTTCCATTTCGACTTCCCCCTAAGATGTTGGTACATCTTTACAACTTTGGGGTCGAGACTTATATTACTCTTATGTCCTTCCTTTAAGCTTATATTCTTAAAACCAAGAACACTAGGTGTAGTTAATTCATCTTAGAATCTTAGAACTTCATTTAGACCCCTCCTAAAATTCACTCTCCTTACTTTGACTCAAATATTCTACTTGAACTAATAGAAATGGACGACTTAGTTTTTGACTTTTACTAATCTCGTTTATCAATCTATAAGTCACTCTAAATATATTCAACTTAAGATTCCGTAAAGGTTTCTTACAGGTCAACTAAGGTTTCTAAACTTGTCCTAAAAGGTTTAATTCTTTAGTCATCTTTCTAGATACATTAAGGATTTACATACACAGGATTCAATCATAATTCTTAAGAGTTTCTAACCTTTTCACTTGTCTTGTGCTCAACTACTTTTGATCAAAAGATATTTAAAGTTCTTACTATTGATAAAACTTCTCACTAATATATTATAACACAAACTTTCATCAACATGTTTATCTTGCCTTAGAAAAGATACTAAATTATTACTGTCATTAGTCTAATTAACAGAAGTCCATACACAACTTCATGCTCTTGTACCATTCTTTCATGTGTTTTTTTTTTTTTTAATTTATTGTTGAAGTTACTTATTAGAAAATTATTTAATTTTTATTCTTCTAAAATTTGAAATAATTATTTTTAGTTCTTAAACTATTTTAAGTTAGGTATATAATATTCGTTTTAATGATCTAATTTATATGATAAACTCGTGAAGGTTTTTGATGATACGTGAAATTGTATTCGAAATTTATAATCTTGATCTTTATTTTTAAAAATGTTTAATTTTTCTTATGTATAAATTGAAATCGTAAGTATTGCATAAAAGTTAATCCATATATTTGTTAGATAGAATTTAATGTTATGATTGGTCCTCTCTACCTTTATTCCTAGCTTCGTTCATGTATACAATATTAAATATTTAGAAAGACTATATTTTCTTTTATGGATGAAAACCTACTATCTATACCAAATAATCATCTTATATCTAATGTATAAAATAAATACAAAAATCAACAATCACACATAACATATCCAGTATTAAATACTAAAAATTAAAGATAAAGTTATTGTTATCATGCAGGTTTTGATGTTTGTCCCTCAATTAATCTTAATAATTGTTTTTTTTATATTTTGTATGAAAACTTTCCTACTAAAGAATGTGGAAATCCAATATTTTCACGAAAGAGATTTATTTATATTTTGATGATGATATTTTTTCTAATTATGTCTCTTATTCAAGAAAATATTTTAAACATATATGAAAGAGATTTATTTGTATTTTGATGATGAGATTTTTTTTAATTATCTCTCTTATTCAAGAAAATATTTTAGACATACTAAATATATTCATTATTTTAAAGATGAAAGATTATTTTAAAAAAAAATTAATCAAAACTACTTTAATTAAAAATTGTCTCTTAAATTATTTCAGTTTAAAATACATGTTTTTAATTTATCTATGAAGAGGATAAAAAATTATCTTTATTATTATGATAATTAATTTTTATATAATAAACACGAATTGTTATTTTACGCTATAGTGTTTTTAAAGACTTTTTGAATTTTTTATCCAGGTTTTATTTATTATAATTATTTATAATTTAAATATTAATATTTTAAAAATAATTAATAAATATAAATATTTTTTTTATTATATA